TCTCTCTCTCTCTCTCTCTCTCTCTCTCTCTCTCTCTCTCTCTCTCTCTCTCTTTTGTATTCTTTCTTCAGCTCTTGTCAACACATGCTCGAGCGGACACACACGTCCTTCTGTTCAAGATTTACTATTTCTCCATTCGGCAGCTGTGTACACACGCCAATGGTAGATCGTGCACGTTACAATTCATTACGAGATTTGCTTCTGCCGTATCGTCCAATGTGTTTGTGTTCGATGCAGCGTATGGACTGCGGATGCATCGTGTAGAGAGAAGTCGCGCAGTGGCGCGAGAACGAGAGACTCGCATCGAAAGAAATTTTCGATGCAACTCAATGCTTCAAACCTTTACCTCGTGTTTGTCGAGATCTATTATTTTAACTTAAAAATAAAAAGTACGATCTATAATAGATCTCTACTTCTCGGTTGGAAGACGTCATGTCGAGATTAATTTCGAATCCATACTGACACTCACGTATAATCCTTTGTGAGAAATATTGCGGAAACGCGTGGTATTGATCGATATGTCATGGCGAAATTTACCGTTTTCACCTAAGTATCGCTCCAATAATTTTCGCTTTACAAAGAAATTTAAAATTGACGATGAGTATTGGCTACGCATCGTCGCCTATGGCTACGCATGCTGCGAATACTTAGATTTCTGACCACACGGATGTAGATCTTAGTTTCACGACTAAGCCTTCTTGTAGGTTTCATCTCGATAAACAGCAGCAATCGCAAGCGCGACGCAATCGATAGCGCTGTGCAGATAGTCTAAGAAGATAGCACGCACGCTATAGCGTTCTCTTCGAGATAGGTCTCAAACGTACCTTGAAACGTCTCTTCATCGGACAGGTCGTTAGGCAGATCTTTCGTCGAAATTGGCGGGGTCAACGGCCAAGATAGTCCACGAATGCGCCGAAGATCCCTCTGCGTTCGACGCAATCCAATTGCGAAAAAAAATAAATATTTCTTGTTAACTTTGCTGTTTCTTTATATAAGACGATTAGATTTCTATCAAAATTTTATTAAACAAAAATCGCATTGTGTGCAAGTTCGAGTGTTAACTGTGTGTTATGTAGCTAAAATGCACTAATTATTAAGAGAATACTTGGAAACTATCGGTCTAACTGTAAATACTAGTTGCGAATTTAGTCCTTTTTGATTAGATTTAATGTATGATATAATATAATATGTATATATATATATATATATATATATATATATATATATATATATATATATATATATATATAA